ACTGATTAAGTGCGAATTGCATGGCTTGAGCATTATCGCACAGTAAGACAATATCATCCGCATACTCAAGGTCGAGAAGTCGTTCTCCAGGCAACATATCCACACCGCCATTACTTACATCCATCAGAGATGTTTCCAGGATGTCGTCGATAGCAAAGTTGAAGAGGAATGGTGAGATCGGGCAACCCTGCCTAACCCCACTGCTCGAATGGAACAAGGGAGAAAGGTGGTTGTATGCCCTCACTCTGCCTGAGGTGTTCGTATACAGGGCCTTTAAGATGTTAATGAACTTCTCAGGCACACCCTTCTTCAATAGACAATCCCAGAGAACAGTCCTGTCCAACGAATCGAAGGCCGCCCTGATTTCAAGAAACACTACGATTGTTGGCCTGCGATAAGTATGACGGTGTTGTAACATTTGGCGGAGGGTGAAGATGTGATCAATGCATCCTCGACCAGAACGAAAACCAGCCTGCTCCTCGCGAGTCAATCGTTCTCGTGTTTTAAACAACCTACGAAGAATGATAGAAGCCAATAGTTTGGACGCAATCGAAAGTAGACTTATCCCCCGATAGTTATTGCACGAACAACGTGAACCCTTTTTAAAGATAGGGACGACTATTGACTCATTCCATGATGTTGGAACACTTTCTTGCTCCCAAACCTTTGCAAACAACGTCAGTTCCTTAGCCAGAAAGTCACCACCATCTTTAAAAAGAGCCGGAGGTAAGTCGTCTGGGCCAGGTGATTTGTAACGTTTCAAGAGTTGGAGTTCCTTGCGGACTTCCGCCTCGTTTGGTGGATCAGTCGTCACCGGCCATGGGGGGCAGGACAAACTGGTTGATGTTGCCGGAGTAGCAGGCCAGTTGAACTGCCCTTCGAAAAATTCCGCCCATCGTCCAAGACGTCGAGAGATGTTAGTGATTGGCATCCCATCATCCTCGTAGATTGTTTCACTCACACCAGACTTCTTGCTGCCAGTGGCTCGGATGAGTTGGAAGAGCTTCCGGCAGTTACCAGATGCAGCTGCTGCTTCCATCTCATTAGCACGCTCCGACCACCAGGCTTCCCGGTCCTTACGCAAGCTTTGCCCGATTTCATTACGTAACAGCCTTCGTTTGTGGTCAAACTCACGGTCACCCGGAGTAGACCAACGGGCTTCCATCAGTTGTAAGGAGCCAGAAGAGACCCAGTGCTTGTAAGCGGGACGTTTCGCGAAGCCGCAAGCGGATTTACTCGCCATTTTCATGGCGTCGTGAAGATGCAACCAATGCTCATCAATACTTTTCGATGGGATGGTAGCTAGCCTAGAGGCTAGCTCCGCTCGATACTTGCTTGCAACAGAAGTTGCAGACAGTTTACTAACATCGATCCGTTGGTGGTGGTCAATCCTTCGGCCACTGAAAAGTAAGGTGAGATTGGCGCAGACCAGGGCATGATCAGACTCCAGATAGGTACTCCAAAAGGAGCGGCAGTCTTGTACACAACCACGCCAGCGGTAGCTGATCGCGATGTGATCAATCTGAGTCCAGGCTTGGGATGCAGAGGGAGGACGCCAGGTGGCACACCGGCGATGACTGTGCCGGAAGTTAGTGCTGGCCAGAAACAGGTTGTGGTCTGTGCACAGTTGCAGCAAACGGTCCCCGTTATCTGTCCTGCGACCAACAAGTCCCCATCGGCCACCTAAACGACTCTCTTCTGTGCCTAGACGCCCGACCTGTGCATTCAAGTCTCCGGCTAGTACTACAATATCTGTCGAACGCGCTTTCTGGAGAAGAACTGTTAACTGATGGTAAAACTCATCCTTGATTGCATCCGGGCTGCAATCTGTCGGGGCATAGGCTGATATGTCGAAAAGACACCGTTTCTCACGCCGATTTCTTCTCACTTTGATGGAACTTTCTAATCTAACAGCACATAACCGACTGTTAATGGGGATCCAATCGATTAGTGCTGCCTCAGCCCTAGCGCTTAGTGCGACACCAACGCCAGCAAGACCAGACGAAGATGCCACAGGGTCCCCGGATAAGCGCACGTGGAACAAGCTTTTCGAGGCGACAGATGGAGAGCGGATTTGTAGTACTTCACTAGAGTCTTGAATACGGGTCTCGGATAGACAACAAACATCAACATTAAGACCTTCCAAAGACATAGCCAGCCCCATCTGTTGTCCGATCTGCATTAGTGTGCGAACGTTGAAGGAAGCCAGCTTGAACGGCGTACGTGGTTTCAGAAAGACTGCTTTAGTATTCGTAATCGGTGGAAGCATTCACTTTCAACCAGACAATGACTGGAGATCGTTTAGATAGGACAGATTTTCCACCAAGAGCGAGCTGCTGTATAAGTTGAAAAGTAAGGTTACACAAATTGGGGATAAAAGGGGTGAAAAAGCGAAGTAGTAAATAATAATAATAGTAATAATAATAATGATAACAATAATAATCATATTAATGGTAATAATCATAATAGTGTAAATTGTCTGGCTTCTAATATGAGTGAGAATAGTATAGTCAATAGAATTCATCATTTCATTTATTTGTGTGTGGGCTGTGATACTGCCCGGGTGCCCAGACCGAAGCAGGTGGTTTTCTTAGGGGACCACACCCCGAGCCTTTGACCTAAAGGTCTGATCCACAAGGCAGTGGAGCATCGTGAGGAGATGCAGTCCCATGGTAGCCGTTGACCAATGACAGGTTCTTCCGCCATTCGTTCCATCAGGATACTGGAACCCATGTGCACCATTGGTTTGGAATCAGGGTTTTCCAACTCCCCTAGGTGGACCCTCCATGTCCACTAACCCGGTTATAGCGCCGGACATTCGCTTTCCGTCCTCTCACTTTCGTAAACAACACCCCGCCACGAGAAGGCAGTGAGTAGGACTTCCCTGGCAGAGGCTATATATTCGCGTGGCCATGTGAGAGCATTTCGAGAGGGAGTAGACTCTCCCCACTCTCGGCCGTACCAGGGCATTTGGGGGGCAGACTAGAATGAACAAATTGCTCTCTGATATTCATGACTCATCTACTAAACGAACGGATAAATTACCTAGGGTGATGGGTGCAGAACACTTATACTGAACATCGAAAATGTTTCAGATAACCTCGACCATTTGTATCCAAATAATCACGCTCGAATTAATGACGTTTTGAATATAATGTGTTTAATTTCAGTTTTATTGTATTGCATCTGATGAACAAAATTTAGGGAAAATGGTAGTCTTCGTTTTATTCCAAAATTCATCTCTTATATTATTATACTCTTTGAATCGCCCAAATATGATGATATTCATTCGTATTAATGTTTTCTTCAAAGTGTAACAGTTTACTTGAATGAAATAGTCCTGTATACGAACACTTCAGGCAGAGTGAGGACATACAACCACCTTTCTCCCTTGTTCCATTCGAGCAGTGGGGTGAGGCGAGGTTGCCCGATCTCACCATTCCTCTTCAACTTTGCTATCGACGACATCCTGGAAACATCTCTGATGGATGTAAGTAATGGCGGTGTGGATATGTTGCCTGGAGAACGACTTCTCGACCTTGAGTATGCGGATGATATTGTCTTACTGTGCGATAATGCTCAAGCCATGCAATTCGCACTTAATCAGTTGGCAATCAGTGTCCGCAGGTACGGCATGTGCTTTGCACCCTCCAAGTGCAAAGTACTCCTACAAGACTGGCAGGATTCTCATCCTGTACTCACCCTGGATGGTGAGGAGATCGAAGTAGTTGAGAAGTTCGTGTATCTAGGTAGCTATATAAGTGCTGGTGGTGGCGTGAGTGATGAGATTGGTGCACGTATAATGAAAGCCATAGCGGCTTATGCCAATCTGGGCCATCCTTGGCGCCTTCGTGATGTTAGTCTGGCTGTAAAAGGTCGGATCTACAACGCTTCGGTGAGAGCAGCTTTGCTCTATGCTTGTGAAACCTGGCCTCTCCGAGTTGAGGATGTCAGACGTCTCTCTGTGTTCGATCATCGTTGTCTCCGAAGGATTGCTGACATCCAGTGGCAACACCATGTTAGTAATGCAGAGGTTCGGCATCGTGTGTTCGGGCGCAGAGACGATAATTCAATTGGTGTCACCATCTTGAAACACCGACTTCGGTGGCTTGGACATGTTTTACGAATGTCGTCCCAGAGACTTCAACGTCGTGCATTATTTGCCGACCCTGGGACTGGTTGGAAAAAGCGGAGAGGAGGTCAGTGTATGACATGGTGTCTTGGCATGAAAGAGAGCTGCAAAGGGCTAGCTTCTGTTGGACCTTCACGACTCCCTGGCTGGGGTCCGAGAGATGGTGCAACACAGTGGCTAGAGACGTTATCAGATATGGCTCAGAATAGAAGCCAGTGGCGATCCTGCTGCAACCTTCTTTTACTTTCTACATAAAGAATGGTTCTAACTTTCCTAACTGAAAGAGTCTTCTGGTTGTACATTTTAGTCCGCGTTATCTTTTCATCCTTTCCCTTCCTACTTTCATTATTTTGTGTGGCGCATATGTACCTGGTGCCCTTTTGTACCAATATATATGTGTTTAAATAAATAATTTCGAATCACATAGATTATGTCTAGTGTTTTCCACTCCTACTGATACTGTTACTATTTCTACTACGCTGACATCTGTCTTGCTAATTTATTTGGCTATGGCGATGATGTGCATCAACTTAAACGGATATATATATATATATATATATATATATATATATATATATATATCAAGTTCTACTTTGTTTATGAATGACTGAACTATAATCGGTTGATCATAGCAGACCCAAACCCTCGTATATAACAGCTACCTCATTACGATGACTTATCAAAAGACAATAGTTCGTATCTGGTCTGAAATCTAATTGTGTTCATTCATAGTTTTCAGCATCTCGCTGTCATACAACAATCAAAGAAAATGAACATCAATTAAATATTGGTTAACAATTTCATTCTTAGTTTGTTTTGTGTACCGTATGTGAGGATTTCTTTCTCATTCTTCTCTCTTACTATCTAGTCTATCCAGATGGACGTGTATGCATTTCCATACTTCATGCTCCTGGTGATGATCCAATGGGTTATGAAAGTTCCGTTGAACGTTGGAGTCCAGTTCAATCAGTAGAAAAAATTTTATTATCTGTTGTTAGTATGCTTGCAGGTAATTGATTTTAATCATTAAAATGAATTAAATCCAATTTTTAAATTTTTCGTTTTTTCTTGTTATCTGCAAATCATTGTCTTGTTTAGAAAACTACTCAAAAACCATAGATTTTGACTAAATAACTATCTCATTTTTTATTAAAATCACAAGCCGATCAATGTTAGATCACCACTAGAGACCTGAAAGCACTGAACGGCCATCTCGTCCTATTGTGGAACTCCTCAGCAGTGCGCAGCCATGACTCTGCACTCGGGGACCGAAACCTTCGGTTTCGTTCGAACCCCTGGATCATCGAGTTAGACTCATTTTAATCAGATGGTTTTTACCATACTATTTTAAATTGTCATCATCAGTAATTTGGTAGGTAGGAGAAAGAAGCGTTTTCCGATGTGATTACATTGTAAGTTTGTTAAAATAATAATCCATTGAATACTAATGTTTAATAATTTGTAGATAACTCTGGAAAATACCAATGTTAGTCATACTGACAAACAAACAACTGTTAATGAGATCAAATTATCAATGTAACTCACCACAACTCTCTCATTGAATGAATTGTCATTAAAAGAAAGCCAGCTAGGATAATAGATTTTTGTTTAATTTTGTAAAATGATATACTGCCATGTAAAGTAGTGAATACAAGAGATTATAAATAATGAGCTGTCAATGGGATCATTAAACAATCGGCGGCCGGGAAAAAGGTGCAGAAATACAAATTCTGTAAATTATTCATTCACGCTTATGAAATCGAGACAACTGTTAGACTTAATTCCTACCCCTTATCATATTTACAGTTTCTTATAAGTTAATATTTTGTAGACTGTATAATAATAAATTTACTGAATAGTTTTTTTTGGGGGTAGGCATCAAAATTCAGTTCGTAATGGAAGTAATCAATCATTTTATCTAATGGAATTATTATTATTATTGTTCGAAAGATAAGATAAGATCAACACCTGAACTAAGGATAGGGAGTGAGGTAGTCGAACGCGTTGACAACTTCACTTATCTTGGAAGTTTGATCAGCCCTAATGGGTTGGTGTCTGACGAAATCTCAGCACGGATTCGAAAAGCTCGTTTGGCTTTTGCCAACTTACGTCACCTATGGCGAAGATGAGATATCCGTCTATCAATTAAGGGACGAGTATACTGCGCAGCAGTTCGTTCTGTTCTACTTTACGGCTGTGAAACATGGCCATTAAGAGTAGAAGATACTCGTAAGTTACTTGTATTTGACCACAGATGCCTTAGAAATATTGCACGCATCTGCTGGGATCACCGGGTAAGTAATAGTGAGGTTAGACTCAGGGTATTAGGGAACGATGGTAAATCAGTTGATGAGCGATGAATCTTCATCGACTGAGATGGTTGGGCCATGTGTTACGTATGCCTGAACACCGATTACCACGACGCGCTATGATGACTAGTGTAGGGGTTTGTTGGAAGAGAGTTAGGGGCGGCCAAACCAAAACATGGCATCAGTGTTTGAAGTCACTAACTTCTAGTCTGAGCCATGTTGGCAGATGCAGACTACCTGGTTGGGGTCCGCGTGACTATCGTAATTAATGGTTGGAGACTCTGTGTGACATGGCTCAGAATCGATCACAATGGCGTAGGTGTATACACTCTTTATCTTCCTTTAAACCTTGAGACTAAAATTGCTTCATATCTCTCCTCCTTCCTGTACTATATCCTTATATGCAACCTATAATTTATATACTACTACCACCACTAAATTAATTACTTCTATGAACCCGGTGTTCATCTTGTTGTGCTAACGAGGTATCGCAACTTGGACCGATGCATAAATATGCGTGGTCCTACGTTGTAGCTGACTGACTGACTGACTGATAAATAACATTGAAAACAGTGCTTCCGGTTTGTACCTTACATCCAGTATCTGTTCGTTAGGGATGCTTTCCGATCCAGACTAACTGTATCAATTAAATAATCTAGTTGCAAGTTCAAGCTAGAGGATTGTTTTTCCGAATTAATTCGTCTATCTCAGATGTGATTTACATGTTGCTTACATCACGTCACCGACTCTTACGATGACACCCGCTTTCCACGTAGTTCCCCATTGTTGTAAGTTTCTTACGTACACTGGCAACGCATTAAGAAACTGACGTTCAATTCTCTTCTCCTTGGGTCTATAATCTCGTTTTCTTTTTTGTGGATGCATGATATCAAATGAAGTCCAAATCTTCCTTCAACAGGGAGGACAAACTTAGGTGAGGCTGGATTCTGGGTTATTACTGATGATTTTCTTGGTCGTATCATCTCCTTGTAATTATTCTGAAAATCATGAGAAAATTTCTGTCCCCATTTGCGCATTATATAGAGAGACGAATATACTCGGTTGCAAATAAGGTTGGATGACTGGTCGAACATTTTTAAATCTGGGTTACAAATAAGATTAAATGGGTAATCGAACATTTTCAATTCTGTGATCTAGTCAAGTCCCAATAAATTGAAGTGTTCATTATTTGCATAGCATTTTGATTTGATTGTTAGATCATGAAATTTGACAGTATGTTTGATGATTCCGGAAATGTGAATGTAGTCAGTAGTAGGATGAATGCTTGGCCTACCAAGTTTGTGCCAAGTTTTCCGAGAAATCAAAGTAACATTGAATGCAGTGTCCAACTGCAGAGTGATAATATGATGATAATGGATGATGGATAAATACTTTCGTAAGCATTGAGGGTTACAGATGGTCAAACCATTTTCTTGAAAATTCGGTTGGATCAAAAACAAATAAAAGGTTGTGAACCCCTTATACTCACATTCTCAGTTTATTACTGACTAGGTTAGGTAATTGAATTATTACTTTACTGCTGTTCGACCTTTCATTATTATGAAACTTAAGACAAGATTATTGATAATAAAAGTTTTCTTGGTTTCATTGAAGATGGAAGTTAGCGCTGATCTTCACATAATTAATTTCTAATGTTTAAAGAATGCTAATTACAATCATAAGTTAGTTTTAGGATCTTGAACTCGAATTTACATTGCAATTTTTATTGGTTACAAATCAGTTCCATAGGAACTAGTGGATTTTTGCACTTAACGATTATCAATCTACTATACAATTTTCCAGCAATTAACGTAAATAGTTTTCTCAGTACAGGTCTATAAGTTCAGCCTTAAGACCCAATTCGTTTTAGTATAAGGGGTAATGGTGCTACTCGATGTGGTTCAGACCTGCGACCTAACAATGAAAGGTTTTTTTCTCGTCTTCATCGTTAAATGACGCGCGTTTCGACTAATAGATAGAAGGTTCAAACTCCTTACTTGTGTTAGTCTAAGCAGTTGAATTGTGTCACTAACCTCATCACCCTCGTAAAGAGTGTACTTGGTAAATAATTCACATTATAACTTGGCTTAAAATCATCCTTATTTCTTGGTTTTCTCTAAACTAATTGATACTTTTTAGAACCGAATGATGAGAGTGCAGCTAATGTGGATGCAGCAAAAACATGGCGTGAAGATAAAGCACGTTTCAATAGTCTAGCACTTCGAAGTGTACGTATTAGTTTGGGTATTTCGGCGGAATGAGATACTATCAAAACTAAAGGAGAATAACAATAAAACAATAGAAACTAATCATATCTTTCAATTTTTTGTAACATTTATCTTTCACTTATTATGTAGTTTCTTCAAAATAATTCTTATTTTGCAATTATCATTTCTTTTTTGGTTATTATTATTAATATCTTTTCATTTTCTGATCAAGTAAGTCATGAACAATCTTATAAATTCCATGATTTTGCTTAAATAACTGATTGTGATGAAAGCCACTCCTTCAAGGAATAAGAAAATAGACAAACAAAATAAATTAACTGAAGTTTAAATCGTAAAAAAAAGAATAAAGTTGACTAATTTTAATGTGATCAAAATTAAAATATACATGATGATGATTTTAATGACATGACTATTTGGCCGAAGTGATTTTCTTTGTCTGAGACTTACTTGTGTATATTGTTTGGCTTGGGAAATATAATAATTATATTCGGGGAGAATGGTGTTAAAGATATTTGTATGATTGTTAGTGCTATAAGATGTGAACATTGTGTAAATTGTCCATGTTAAAAGGGGCTTCCTTTCTATCAAGCTCTGTAAGGTTTAGCAATGCAAAATACCTACAGCCAATCGTCTTTTTGTATAAATGGAAAATCGTTTTCGAATTAGTTTGGTATAAATAAAAATTTCATGGTTGTTAAAAACGCTGTTTAGTGCTACTGCTGATTTGTCTTGTTGATTTTATGTTTCTAAATGATTATCTAGAGGTCTCTTTGTTTAACTTAGATGTCATCTGACACAAGTCATGATTTAACGTCAAGACTACAATATATAATACATAACAATCCATAATCCTATGTCGAACTGGTAAGAATTCTAACTTTTATTTGAACTAAGACATTCAGAAATGTTGGTAGAATGCTTTTATTCTATGTGATTTAATGATTCGTTGTGGTTCGTCTGTTGTGGCATGAACATATGGTAGAACTGCAGTAACAACCCATGATATTTCATTGAGTTTACTATTGTACAGCAAACAACAATATTTTGTTTTGTTGTACTCTTAGTAATATTCAGGACAAAGTTATTAAGCTGTAGTTTGCTAGTTGTGTTTCTTCTCAGCTGATGTTATGGTTACAGTCGCGCATCTGAATAAATTTAGAGCGAAAGAAATATTTGCATTGAGTGGGTATGCTGAGTTGAAATCAAAGTGATTGTTCGAGTGTGTCGGCTTGCGATAGGTGGTTATTTTGAAACTTCCAGTTAGAGACACTGAGAAAAAATGACTTGTCGATTTTGGTTTGTTTGAGTGATCACTTCGTTTCCAACACCATCGTCGGTTTTGCTGCTAAGTAAGTAGCTTTCAACGCGGAATAATTTTTGTGGTTAATTATTCCAGTAATTTCATCTCCTTTGAAGCGTAAGTATAAGAAGTAAGTTTTCTTTTCCACTCTATCATACATTACTTGAAGGTTGGTGTTTACATATTTATTGATAACCTGTTTTTGCATGTATGTATATACATATATATTTATATATCATTGATAACCTTTGGTCATTCCAATCCTGAAACAATATTTGTTCTTGCTTTATTTAAAATAATAGTAATTGCTTCTGTAATACCAATCGCGTTCTTGTCATAAAAAAGGTTGCTTCAGGAGCGTCTCGCGACCTGTGGATGTTGTATACGAGTTTACAACGGGGGCAGTGTTCACATAATTTCAGACAATCGTTGAACTTAGTCTGACTTACTGAAATCGTTACTGCTCCGTAATGTGAAAAACTCCCCAGGCAGATGCAATGTTGTACCGTATGCAAGTTCAGCGGAGGAACATTGAATGTCTGCCTTTAAGCTTGTTCAGAATCCTAGGAGGACGAGTGGTAAGGTTTCGTAACAAGTGTTGTTTTCGGAGAGCACTTTCAAATTGACGATAAAAGCCTTCAACTAAACCATTTGATGCTGAGTGGTGGGCGATAGCGCGTATGCGTACCGTACCAAGCATCCAGGTCAGACAGGGAAATAATTGGGACTCGAATTGTTGTTATCGGTCAGTCGTGACAGTCGAGGGATAACCGTATAGAGTTATCCATCATACTACGAAGCGGTGGGCAACTGTTCGCCGCAATAGACGTGATGATAATAGCTTCTAGCCATCTTGTGAAACGGTCGATGCACGTATGTGATCAAACCCGTTCGATGGTGGTAGTGGTCCCACAATGTCTGTATGAACGTGATCAAACCGAGCATCAGGCCTAGCCAAAGTGACAATAGGAACAGCTGCACGCCTGTGCACTTTTGATCGTTGACACTATAAGCATTGCTTTACTCACATACGGACTTCTTTATTCATGGACGGCCAAACGTATCGTGCAGCAATGAGGCGTAATGTAGCTGCGATATCTGGATGGGACAGTCCATGCAGGGCATTAAAAAATGAGACGACGATAAGCAGAGGGTACGATGGGCCAGGGAAGACCAAAAGAATTATCACACAATATAGTTCCTGAGCTAGTAGCTAGGGGTACTTCCATACACTGAAGGGATGTAGAATGTTGTGCTATTGTGCAGGAAGGATCGCTTGCTTGGGCGGAGGCCTCATCACGGAGATCAAGCACCGCAAAGTAGCTGCATTCACCTGGATACGTGACAGAGCATCGGCAACATAGTTCCACTAGCCTTTGATGTGACGAAGTTCTGTTGTGAACTGAGATATAGTCCAAATGTCTGCACTCTCGTAATGAGTAGAGATCAGACTTGGTATGCAGAGCATACCTTAAAGGCTTATTGTCGGTAAATAGGATAAAATCGCGATCTTCCACTGCGTGTTGGAAATATTTGATGACACAGTAGGCTGCTAGTAGTTCTCGATTAAAAGCGATATATCTCGTCTCCATAGGAGTGAGGTGTCGTGAGATAAATTTTAGAGGTTGCCAACTTCCGGATATGTTCTGGTGCATAACGTCTACTATAGCGAAATCCGATGCATCAATCGCTATATTAAGCGTGTCTGATGGGTCAGGATGAGAGAGAAGTGTGGCTTGAACTAGAGCCGTTTCGACCTCTAAAAGTGCAGTACGCGTGGCATCGTTAAATTCTAATTTGCGTTAATGGTCGGTTAATGGTCGTAACAGTTATGCCGTGTGTGGGATGAAACGTCAGTAAAAGTTAACCAGACTGAGGAATGCCTTCAGTTCCCTGAGTGTGGACGTTACGATGTACTCCATCATTGCACGTACATTGTTCTTACAAGGTCACATACCTTCTTAATTAATAATGTGAGCTAAGAATTTTATTTCTGTTCTCCCAAGTTCAAACTTGTTGGGGTTGACTATTATTCCATAATCCGAAAGGCACTGGAATAGTAGCGTTAGGTGCTGATAATGTTCATCTATGTTTGATGATGCGATTAGCAGATATCAATATAGATGTGAAGGAAATCTAGGTCTCGTACTATGCTATCGATAAACCTTTGGAAAGTGAGCAGCATTCCGTAATCTAAATGTCATTCGTAGGAACTCAAACAGACCGAAAGAAGTCGTGATGGCGACTTTCGCGATGTCTTCAAGAGCATTGGGTTCTAGTGATATGCTCGTACCAGATTGGGCGTAGAAAAAATATTCATGCCCTTGAGTGATGCCATGATGCCAAGGGTGTGAGGAATGGGGTAACTATCAAAACGTGTAACAACGTTTAATGCCTGGTAGTCTTCATATGGTCTCCAACCAACCCCATCCTTTTTGCATACCATGTAGAGAGGTTAGGCCCAAAGACCGTGAGAAGGTGGAATAATACCAGTAGCTAGTAAGCTGTCAAAATCACGTTTAGCGAAAGCTAATTTGTACGATGCGAGTCGGCGAAGTTTTGCCGTGACTGAGGGTCTGTGGGTGATTATGTGGTGTACCACACGATTGGTCACCGATAGGATCTCCTTAAGAGGTTTAGTTAGTTGAGGGAACTTCTAGAATAAGGCGTGGTATACATCGTCAAGCGAATGAGATACACCTGTGATTCGGTACGCGTTTGTTTGAGCTAAAAAGTCAATGAATTAGCTGTTCAATGAAGTATCGATTACCTATAGCCTACGTGAATCTACTAGCAATTCATAGTGCTGTAGGAAATCGATACCGAATATGGATGTGGGAACATCGGCAATGATGACTGCCACAGATACTGACGTCGTTTGCTCAGGTCGACTGTTAGCTGTCGTGTACTATAGGTAGGAATGACTTACTGTTACCAATAGGTACGACAGAAACTTTTATCACCTGTATCTACTAGGTACCTGGCGTTAGTACAATAATCATGCACATAAAATAAACGAGCAACCTGATGTGAAAAGCCGGCAAGTACGGCCACATTAACTCGCCGGCTCGGAATTTCCCGCCTTGCATCAGCAGAGGGTTTGACAACGGCGGGCACCGACTTCGAAGGCACGGTGGAACCAGCACCAACCAAAACTCGTTTCTGAAACCGCCTTTAGGCGTGGTTTAGAATATATCCGCTTAAATCGAGTAGTTACGTCTTTACGGGAGCGTGACTTCTGGATCGTGGGAATAAAAGAAACAGGTTGGAAATTGATGGCCTGCACCTTTGAGTTTATTATGTTATTGCCACTCTTATTGTTATCCACCTTATTGAGTCGTTGACCGAATATTATATATTGAGAAACATCAATATGAAAATATGCAACAAATGTGGGCAGACAGATAATCGACTCACCGTGATAGAATTCTTTGGAAGGTTTGCTAGTAGGTGAAACCTGCTCCCAATTTCGGGTCACTAGGTGTAGATGGTGTCCCGTCGCGATTGACTATGTTTATCAATACAGGAAGATTACGTGCCAGATATTGGGTTGGATCCCACCGTAATCCAAAAACCAGATGGCTGTTGACGGTTCCAATAAGACATATTTTTTGGCGATTTCGTGGTATCAAAAGAATACCGAGATCGTGCCAAAGATTACAAGCTGAACTATCAAGCGAGTGCGAGTTCGAGCAAGGTCACAGGCAACACAAAAATGTGCGTTTATTGTACACTTAAACAAACAGGTAGAGTAAAACAATCGGTTATAATAATAATTGTTTCCATTATATCAATTGTGTTCTCATCATAAGACTGAGTCACTACATGTCCACTTCGATTTCGTCAACAAAGTGATGGATTATTTTGAAATTTCAGACTATAGACATCTATGTTAAAACAATGTAACTTATTCTAGCTTCCGGACAGAGAAATTTATCCATCCTTGTGGAGTCACATTTTGACCTTTTGATTATTCACTTATCAATTCTGACTGTTTTTATATAAGCGTATTTGTGTGTACATTTCGTCCTACTCATCACACGACTGCAGCTTCTTTTCATGTGACTATAAATTTTGATTACCGCTTAATTAAATGGAGATAGCTCGCACGCCTTCTCCACAGTGTATCATTTCGCCACCCTCCTTTCGCTCGTATGGACAATGATGGGACTTCTGCGTAGGGTCTCATAGGTTAGGTAGTCACTTCATAACAAATCTACAATTTTGATTTTACATATATTATTATAATACTACTAATAGCGATGTAGACCATAAATCTACAAATGTGTTTATTCCATTTTCCTCAAAAAGACTACATTGACCGAGTGTAGTGTATCTTCAGTTTCGTTGGTAGTGTAATCTACTGCGATAGCCGAGGATTTAGGTTCAGTTGGCGCCAAACACAAACTTTATTTGTTTTGTCAATTCTTTTTTTTATAAAATCATTATGTGATTACATTTCTGGATGATTTAACCAGAATTATTATCTGTTTTTACCCGGTCTATCAAAAACATTTTTCATGGTCTTTCTAAATGCATTTGAAGCCAGTCCAATCTTCAGAGGGACTAGCTGTGTCTTTGCCCTCAAGTGCACCGTTTGAATTTTTAAATCTCCCACGGCCTTCGAAAACTGTACAGCTTGATCATCAATTAAGTTACTGTCAGAAGCATCAACACGCAAATAAATGTGATAATCCAGTGATCTAAGCCCTTCTTGCCCATACACAGATTAACCGCATTCGTTAACTAGGAAAGAAACATTGGGGTAACTGCTCTCTTCTTTCCCCAACGAAATACTAACTGTACCAATTATGAATAACCGATTGATGGTGGCACGAGTGATAAAAGTACTTCTAGGTTTTAGATGCTCATCATAATAATAAAATAAGAAATGTCTATTGAAAGTTATTAACTGTATCTTGTATTTAAATAGGACTCGGCTACGTGAGCCTGTCCCTGAAACTGTTATTTTCAGTTTCTGATAATTTAGTCACGAAGTACAAACTAATTTGTGGAATCGTGACTTTCACGTGTTCTGAATGATATCAAATGAAGATTGTTAACTAGTAATCCCTTATTTCGTTGAGTAGAGAAATAGAATTGGTTTGTTAGGTCAAGCAAGAATCCTTAACAAAATATATCCTTTTCTTACTTTAACGGTTGACTACTACTTGACTCCTGCTAGATTTTCTCTCAATCTCAAGCACTAGTAAAAAGAGAAGGGTTATTGTGATGTTAACAATGCCATCCTACATATACGAACTTTATTTAAGAAAGGCTAACTAAGAATACCATTCAAATCATTTAAACTCTACCCGAAAGTCTAACATTCTTGACTAAAAAAGGTTATAACGCCTTATGATGAACAAGAGATTTCTCTAAATATCCAGGGCGATTACTCCTCTGACAAACAGGGAAAGAATTAACATAGGTACATTGAAAGTCCGTACGAGATAGAAAGCCATAGGGACTATCCAATGGTTAGGAAATATAACATGCTAATGTTCAGAATGAGAGAAACCCAGGAGGGTTTACAGAAAATACTAACCTCAAGAAGGGTGTGAAAAAATTGTTTTCGTCAAGATGAAGATGCCGTGTGCACACAAAAAGTTGGACTGAGGCCTTTCAGAGAAGCACAAAACGCATTTGTAAAGTGGCAATTTCTTGGATTCATCTTAACAGGATTCTTAAACACACAGGGATGAGTTAAAATCAGTATCATTCAGTGCTATACTTTCACAATTGATAGCTCTGGAGACGATAACTTTCAGTTTTGCGTGAAGCATCAGTCGATTGTAGAGAAGAGGTTAGAAGAGGATATGACTATCGTGATGGGAGACCTGAACACCGAGTTTGATGATAATGTGTGATGATATGGAATTTGAATATTGAATGAGAATGATGAGAAAATTACAAAGATATACGCTTCTTAACATTATTGTTATAAATGCAACATCCTTCCCTCACAAAACATAAAAGACTACGTTTGGTTCTCCGGGATTTTTACAGAAAATCTGGTTACTTTCATTTCCACCAACAAAATGTTCAGTAGAGCCATGCAGAAGATTAAAACCAATGGAGTCTCAGTTCACCACTTAATGACACACAAGCTGAATCTGCAACTGAAGAAGACTAGACAACGGAAGAAACAACATTGCAAATATTTAATTCTCTTATGCTTCGAGATACCGACAAAATCGGTGAGGACAAGATTGTCCTCATGAATAAGCCCTACAAATTCTATTATAAAGAAAAACTGTGGAAATCAATTGTAAGAGACTGAGGAAGCAATAACTTCAAAATCTAGGGGAGGGGAAAGAGTCCTAGGCTGAAAGTGGTACCATCTTAAGAGGTGGATCCCCACTGAAAACCTGAGAGGGATTTTGAACAGTTCATATACGTCAGAATTCAACAGCAGACGAATGAAATCAGAATATGCTAGGACACTTACTGAATAAGCAAAATAGCAAAGAAGAGCATTATTAATGACAAGCGAAAATATGCAACAGACTTGGGAACTACAGCAGAACAAGGTGTATAAAGAAAAAGCACGGGACAATTACACAAAGCAACTAGGGAGCTAGTGAGCAAATATTTTAAACCGGAGGTAGCATTCAAGGATTTAGATTCATGAAGAGTGGTACTGGTTAGTGGAAAATTTAGAAGAAATCTGTAGACCATCCCTATTGAACACATGTGACATCGGACTATAAAATACAGAATTTACTTCAAAAGGATCACACTACAATCAATAATAGACAAAGTTTTCAAAAGTTTCGCCCAATTCAAAGAAATGTTCAGTGGACGCTGAATTTCGAAACCGACAGTTTGAGTTTCACAATGATCAATAGTATGTCAACTGAATTGAGAAACTGTAGATCTTTGCTCGACTGTCAACTTATTATACATCAACGTTTCAGACTATGAGAAAGCGTTAGACGGATTGTGGTATGTTCTTCGACACTGTGGTGAACATGAAAGATTGATATCATCGCACGATACATTTACAAGGGTCTAATTTGATATTCTTGAATAAAGGAAAGCTCAGAGGTGTCTGCTTAGTGAAGACAGGTTTCAGAATAGACTGATGCTCTCAATGTCTCTTACTGTAGTTGTTAGTTGGATCATGAAGGCTTCCACATCACAGGAGGAACATGGAATACAGTTGGCACTATGGACAAAACTAGGCAACAGTTGGATATGAGTAGGGTGGAGATATTGACTGCTGGCCTATGGGGCTAAGCGGGAGCAAAACGCTTCAATATACAAGCAGTTTTTTGCATAGAATCGTGTGACAAACATTTAGAGACAAAATATTCTAAGTAATATCCTAATTCATATGACGATCCGTTGATAATTAACTTTCCAAGATTATTAAAATCCACGTTTACAACGACGCTGGATGTGAATTTGCAACATTCGCACTTATCACTATTATTCTCAAATAGACTGTAACTTTGACAAGGCGTAATCAAAAACGGGTTTTGCAGTAGGTAGAAAAAACTTCAGTCTTATCAAAATAAGTTGAAAACCATATGAAACTTCTAATTACAGTGACTTTAATAATTGCTTCTTATAGACCTAATTTTTGAATATATATTTGTTGTAAGTATAACAAAGGTAAGCTAATCTTATGTTCGTTTAAATGGGATTAGTTTGTTTAACATTTCAAGTATAAGCAGCACGTTTTCAAAAAGGAGGAAATGATTTTAGAGGTTTTAAGTTTAGTTGCGAGTTTGCCTTTTCATCTAGGTTTGCATTCTAAGCTTTATATTCTACTTTTGTAAACCTTAGACTCTCTTGAGTGCTATATTTGTACAAATGAGGAGGGAAACTGGAATGACTGCATTAGAACTATCCAAACTTGCGAACCATTACAAGATACCTGCCAGTCTATTGTTCAGTATCGAAGTAACTGAATGTTTTGTTTTTGATATTATAGCTCCTCCTTTCTGGACTGTTCTTGCTGAGAGAAGGGCATTCGTTACAAAAGGCTGCACAACTACATCTGCTTGTCAAATGACATCATCTGTCATCTCAGAGCGTTGTTCCAGATCAAAAACCAGGGACTGGATTTGTTCTTACTGCTGTAACAGTGATCGTTGCAATTACTATGTGCCTGTAAGTTAGTTTAATGGCTGTCACTTGGTGTTTCATTTTAAGAAAGCATTAATCTTTGTTAGTCAATCATCTGGGTTGGAGGTAATATAAACGAACTTAAGAGAAATCAGTGGACGAACCTATCCGCCTTTTAAGTTTACGAACATTAAAAAAGCAATTATTATCTTTTGTTCGATTTTACAACGATAAAACATATAAAGTAAGAAAATATGAATACGGTTACATTCTTATTTTTACCATTAATATCTATCTCATAAAACTGACATCCGAAAACCCACTGGGGATCTGATCGCGTAGCGAGAAGCAGTATTAAAATGTAAGTTGATAAACGTTAGGAAGCACATGGTTGTCAGTCTACAGGAATTGGTTCAGTTAGAGAAGTTCGGCGAAATTTGAGTTCGATTTAATAAGTAACAAGTGTTATGGCTGAGTGCCCATTATTTATATCTATGAACCAGATCAGTGGTAAGAAGCCTACTTGTAGTTTCTATAATTCCTGAGAACTCATTTTAAGAATTTTTCAGTACCTTGATTCTTAAGGTTTATCTATAAAAGTACCTCTATTATCTTTGGTGTTCTGCTCCAGAACTCACCGATGAAGGGTGCACAAAAAGTTATGAGATTTTTTTGGAATTACTCATTAAGCTTTACTCTCCTCTACTTCGTTTTATGAATTTAAACCATAACACTTTTATGTCGTTGAATAATGACGACATTTTCTGTCTAATATTAAATTCTGTTTGATATTATGAAGATGCCAAGTTCCCTGTATCTGAAATTTGTTACTGCTACGTTTAAACATACTGTGCATGCATAAAATATTTTATGCTAAATATAATTATAAATGTAACTTTTATTTTGTGCAAAATATCAAACTAAACTCACCATATCACTAGATGCATAGCGACCATAAATGCCACCAAACTAACTCCTTATAATGTACTGGAAGTGTGAATGAGCCTATTTACTTACAATACACTAAATATTGTGTAATCTCTTTTATAAAAAAATTTAATGTTCACATGCTCACGCTTAATATTTTTGAAATCTTATGGTTATTTGTTTAAAATTGTCTTTATTTGTGATGTAGGGAGGCGCTTTACGAACGTGTAGTCCTCAAACCTATACAACATTGTTCATCCTCTGTCTGTGTAGCATATTTTGGAAATTTGTTTGATTATATAAGCAACTGAAGTAACTGTGGAAAAGTAAGTAAATAGTCATATTTTATGAATACAAGGTTTCCGAAAAGAAGCAAATACGTTCTTCCCACTAATTATTCAATCATTTTTTTGTTGTATAAATCCCACTCTTCGCAATAAAATGTTATAAAATAAGAAATTTTACGCTTATCAGAACCTCAGGCTAACCAAAACTTTCTCCTTCACTGAAATCCGGAGTTCGCTTGTTTTTTTTTAAGTCTCACACCACTGTCCAGCCTTTTTTTGCCTCAACGAATTTGCCATTTTTTCTTTATTGACTGACTATGAGTGTCTAACAGTTACAGACTAAAAAGTTGTCACAAGGAATTTTATTATTCATTAACGACATTATAATCAAAATGTAGTATACACGGAAAAAGACCTGAATTAACCTTCTTTTGAATTCAAAGTACGATAATCTCCACGGATTGACGAATTAAAATTTGAAGCGTGGTATACAACTTATTTAACTTTATGAGACAACTTTTCTGGTAAAAACAACTATAGTAAGCCAAAAACTTGAACGTTTGTGTACTGAAATTGTTACAATCCTTTGTTCACAAAGCTGATGGGTCCAGCTAACCACTCCCATGGGTCTGAATTTATTCTTGATGATGCTAAAGACTGAGATTAATCAGTCTAAAGGAGCAGTTCAAAGAGCATAATAAAACCATAACTACAGACAACAGATTAAAATCCATACCTACAGAATAAGCTTTTAAACAACTGTAATAAAATTTTAACTACTCATTTCTTTTTTAAGTATCTGCTGGTGATGTCTTCTGGAAAGACACCACCCAGCCTAGAGAACATAACACCTTCAAAAACAAACATTCTAATACGGCGATCGATCGTTAAAATAAAGTCACTGTTAAAATATCTTAAAATAGAAGTAGTTATCAATATTTCTCAGGCAAACCATTAAAAGTGCATAACACCGTCTAAACTTATTTCTTCGGACAGTATAGTCGAATAAGTTTAAGCTTTCGAGAATATCTCTGTCCCTAATCATCTATAGTATTATCCAGAAAATGAATTCATTGACAGACGCAGTTCATATAATACAATATATGCCGTCCCGTTATACGAATTTCAATTTAGTTTTTCATTCATTGACATGTGTTACTCTTCATATCAGAATAACTATGTGATTAGATCATGATATTGACCTGACAGACATGCCCATATGAAATGAAATGTCTCAATAATTATCTTTTTTTATTGAGAATAGAACATATTGGCTGCTCGAACTGTGGAGTTAAAAGTTGGGTGAAAATATGAGTTGCAGTGTTCCGTTCATAAAGTTGTTCTAAATAATGTACATCTATGTGCATTGTCTGAATGAGTTGAAATTTCTTTTTAGATTTCAAGTCGGAAAATACTTCGGCTGCCGAACATCACAATACTCAGTATCCCTTTTAAAAAAAATACATGAGTGACTTATTAATAAAAATATAGATATAACTGATTTGTGAGCATTAGTCGTACAAGTATGACCATATTTTTACAAGCTTTTGCCAAATAACTACATCGATTAGCACTGTATATTACACGGACGACCATCTTTATGAAGATAAAAAAATCCTTTTATCCTTGTAACCCGATTTCCAGTAACGGAGTTGTACATTGTTTTAAAAATTGTAAATATAACAAGCACATTTATTTGTCATTTCGGTTACAATATAATAAATTTCAGCTGTTCTTCAAACTCTTGGTTTTTTATGTCGCTGAGTGAAGTGTTTATTTTGAACAGCATAATTTAATTTTGTTAATACTGATCAATAGAAAGTCATAGCCAGTCTCTTCACCTTACGATTAGTAATGCAAAACTTCCTCACACTTAGTTCTTAGGGCCATGTTTCTTATGTAACCATACATATACATGTTGTGAGTTACATCATAAGAGACGCTTGATATTAATCGTTTAAAACATAAATATACGTTGAGTATAATTCATGTAATTTAAGGTATACCCAGAGATCCTTTGATTACCTCTTAAGGTCCTCCGTATAACATGACTTTAGTGATGTAGAAATCGTCTTGTTTTCCAAGACAAGTTACTTTTGCGCAACGGCATTCTGGCTGACCAATGACGGAGTAAAATTGTGCAGTCCAAATCGGTAATGTAAGAGCTGAGTGGGCTTCTTTCAAACGTTATTTGCGCCATACGAATGACTTTCCTAAACAAACATTTTCTTACATTACAGAGTAAACCTGTCATTCACGCCAACCTTATACATCTGTCGTAATTTCATTACTATTAGAAATAAATCTCATTATAACTAACTACTAACATGCGATTGGCTAAAAATCTTTCAAGGTCGAATTTGTTTATTGTAGTCCAAACTATTTAATCACGACACCTCTTCATTCGACGAAAAAACAAACTAAAAGCCTGTCATCTAATGTTGCTGAATATATTTATTTCCTCCCAATGTGATCAGTCATAAGTTCACATTAAAATTAATAATAATTGAGTAACCGTAGAGTAATATATTGTCATCAGCTCCACTCTTTCAGGGTGGTATATTTGAATGAATAGTAAGTTCTGCTTTTGTTCATGGAATCTCTGTAGCAATCATCATTTATCTACTCTAAAAAAACAGCAGTCCAGGAAGAATTTGAGCAAATAAGAAGCTCAGTAAAGGTATCCTTAAAATCATTCTTATAATATAAATTATATCATGCTATTATCTAACATAGTACAAGAAACACATATTTGTTGTGTTATTTACTAAGACGGCTTATCAATACTAAAAAATTACAGCGTTCACAATCTTGAAGATTTCTCTGAATATATACTTCTCCCTTCAAGTAAATAAACAGCGTTGAGACAGATCTTACGGATAACTCGAGTTGATTGCAGTAGAAATTCCTCCTTAGTACTACCTAGACCTAACAGTACAGTTTTAGCCACACGTAACTCCTCGGTATTAATATCAGAAATATATATATATAATTTAGAAGGTAACCAGAAAAAAGCTCTAAGAAATGTTTCCTAACATGTTTATTTTAACTAATAACTTGAATTAATAGTGAAGTCTCCAACCATAGATTAAGGTCTTAACCTAAAGGCTTATATCTTCCGACATATAAATTCAGTTCAAGTGTCAACAACCTTATGGATTGATACCATGATTTTCAAAGGCCACTGACTTTTCTATACGTGTTAACACTGTACGTCGAAGTATCAACGACGACTCATATCTACACATACTAAAGCCATAAAACATGATGATTAATATTCCTTCACTTAATTATCAATATCAAACTGGTGTAAAAAGTTAAACAACACCAAAAGGAAGACTATTTTCTTTAGTTGTGTATTATTGCATACAACTGGAAATAACAAGTGTGTATGATCATTAACAAAGAATTAGAATATTGTGATTAATTTAAAAAAGAATTAAGATGAATTATGAAAATAGGAAAGATAAACACACATAAAAACTATAGACAAAACATTAACAAACAATTTAACAAAAATAAAATACAATAAGGATATTTTTTGATGGTTAAGAAGTAGTTTCCGCTTCGATTCAAATAAACAAAATTCAATGTACAATTAACACTATGAAGTTGATTTAAAACAAGTGAATTGTATTCTTGTTTCTAAGAAAAAAAATTATTCACCATTTTTAAAATTTTAATAAAATAAATTAGAAATTGTAATGACTACTGATAGATAGCATGTAGTTAATCATGTGTAGAGATGAATATCATTTAAATTTATAAAGAATAATAGACAAGTCAATTCTATATAATTGATTGTACGTTGTTTTCACAGAAAATATATACAAACTTAAGAATGCCTTTTTCATTTATCCAAAATCTGAAAAGAAATCGAAATAATTGATTACCATATATATACACCAAGTTTTAGTATATAAAATAACTGTCTTAATTGCTTTCTGCATACTATTGACCTACTTGATTTAAAAGATTGAAAATTGATATTCATTTTACTAAAAACACAGATCTCAGTGGTCCAAACTAAACATACTCATAGTTGTATTCTATTTTCGTTTGAATCCAAGTCTGGATCATACGCGCCTGTAGCTACCCCGGGAGCTACTGCCGGTCCCAAGCCCGGGTAAAGGAGGAGGGTTGGGCATGGGGTTAGCGACCCTATCCCGTAGAAAACTAACTCGCTAAAAAAACGCTAACCAGAAAAAATTATTTAAACCAATCATAGTAGTACATGATGGTTAATGATACTACCACTACACAACTGTTTAAATTGAAATAGATATGTAAAAGGACTTGAATTTGCAATTTAACCATCTAAAATTGAATACATTTTAACTGTTAAGTCATTATTTAAAGACAGAATGAGAAATAAATTCGAATACGATGAAGTCAACACAGTACATTTGGTTCCGGTTGATTGAGCTACAACTATATAACTAGTGTACCGCAAACTAGTCATTTATCAGTCAACGTGTGATAATATGATGAAAGTACTTGAAAATTCACTAATATTTAATAATATTCCCTTGAGTAAGCTTTAAAATGACCAACATAATTAACATTGCACAAACTACAACAAGTTGATTAATCCATTCAAAAGGTCAACGATAATAGGGAAGTAATTATCCGAGATTTTTTCATATCTCTAGTTGCACCTTTTGGTCGAATCTGAACAGATATAACCATCCTGACGGGTGTCACAACTAGCACGATACCTAGATTTACAGTTTTCAACTGACTACTTTCAACTGCATATCATCAAAGAGACAGTTTAAATCCAAGATATATCATGATGTTCTAATATCATTTCATGTTTAAATTTTCTACATTAGCCTGCGTAGTTAATGATTGGTGTACAACCAGTCTTCAACAAATGCGATGTGAATCTTCAAATATAACATTTTTTTAAAAGACACAACAATTACTCTGATTTTGATTGGTTTAATCTTTGAAAAAAACCCACAAAATTGTAAACAAGCCCAATGAGTGTGAATCATCACAGACACAGAAAAGTATGAAGTGCGGGGATAGAGATAGAAAGTGAAATTTAATTAACTTACAAAAAAGGATGCTTTTTGCATTGGGATAAAATAATTCAACAGGAAATTAATGTGCTTTCCTTTCATACATTTCCCTTCCATCAATTTCTTTTTCGTGATCGACTAGTAGTTACTTTAGGGTTGGTCGTCACTGGTTGATTATTATCGAGCTTACTAATAGAAGAAGTTAAGTTATTATATTTTAATTGTTTGCCTGCAGTATTACCAACGTCAGTTTTCGTATTTTTAAGCCTATATTCATTATCAACATTATTGGCATTATCGTTGTTGTCTTCATTCTCTTGATCGAATAAATATAATCGACGAAATTGACGTTTATTATTTTTTGAATTGGATATTTGTGCATCGAATGGAGGTTGGTTTTCATTACATCTATAAAAGTAAACAAATAATCTTTAACTATGCATGAAATACAGTGACCGATCATTTTTCGAAAAGTAATAATCGATCATTATAAGTGATAATGCGAGCACATACAAGTCACGTAGCATAACGATGTTTTCTGTGTTGAGGGAGTTAACAATGAGATGAAGAAAACAGTATTTGTATGGGATATATAAAAATCTGAAACGGAAAATCCTCAATATCTGAGCTGATGCCAATAATTATTAAATGAAACCCCTTTATACATGTCTGATTTGTCCGTAAATGAACAACCCGGGTATTCTCTAGTACTTGATAAGCTTCACAATTTTCGACCTAGACAAGATTCAGTTGATGATCGCATCCAAGTTGCGATTAGTTTCAGCGTGGAGATAGCGACAGGCAGATACTACTTTCTTTGTCAATTACTTTTTAATTCAATAACGAGTTTTAGCCCAACAGCATAAAAAACATTTTGAGAGACAAAACCATCCATCATCTTTGCTTCCGTTCGAGTGTCTGATGTCAAAAGATTCCTCAATACATGCATGTGCAAGATCCAGAATTACGAAAGACTTAGAGATTTTCTAGTATGAAATTGGACCTACACGAACAAGATAAACTAGATGATTTTTAGGACAAGTTTAGTATTCCAAAAAGGTGTAAAAATTATGACAGAACAGCCCTGTTCATTGTAGAAGTGTATGTACATAAATCTTTACTAGGTAAATGATGACTTTGATTAGATAGAAATTTGTAATTTTCCTTATTACTGGGAGAATCGTCATTATAAACTCCTTTATCAGTCTCCTACTCTAACTCTCAATTAACCTTACATTTTTCACTATCTGTTAAAGCCATAAACAAACTTACATTGGAGTCAAGATAACTGAAAGACGACGGTGTTCATCTACAATATCAATATTCTTTATAACAGAACTGAGTTTTTCATTTTCCTGTTGTACTAATTCACCAAGAACAGAACGTTTTCTTTTCGTCATTGTCATCTTGGCAGTAGTGTCTTTCTGGGTCTCAGCGTTTGAGTGCACTTGTTGTCGTTGCTCTTTATGCTTAATGCGTAAATCATTCAAAGTAGGCGGAAGAACAGATAGATCAGCAGTTCGATTCATTGATAAATCGAAAATATTCTACATTTAAATTGTAATTTGAGAAGATGAAGGGATTTAAGATTGGGAAGAAATACATGAAGGGAAACCATGTTATAATGATGTTTATAATAATAATAATAAACACAAATATTAAACAACACAATTTAAATTAAAACATAAGGAAGTGTATTTTTTATTCACATTATGAACCAATTAACGTTAGACCATCACCAGAAACCTGAGAGCGCTAGACGGCCGTTTTGTACTAGTAAGGGACTCTTCAACAGTGTGCATCTACGATTCCCCAGGCAGGACTCGAACCCAAGGAAATCGACCTCGCGCGAAGGCTTAACTTCGAAGTCACTGAGCTGGCACTTAACAGTGTTGAACTTTAGTTAATCAGGTCAATGAAGCCACACAATACTCAGAATATCCAAGTACAGATATTGTCCCTGAAACATTCTTAATATACGTTAAATTTTCAACTATATTAGTATACATGCAACTCAGCGACAATGTGAAAGCACCTGGTGATTCAAACATGGTGGTATGGTTGGGGTGAGGATTAGAATTTTCATGAATGAATGTTTGAAATAAAAATTGGCTTGAAACCAGGAACGAGAAATCCCATTACAAATACACACAAATATGATACCCATATTCAGAGAATTTACTTCAAAGGATGCTGTAGTAACTAGATATTATAATTCATGCATCTGGCTAGTTGTATGACTTATCACTTGGTTTTTATCAACTTGAGTCACCTGTGGCGTAAGTGCGATTTCTGTGTGACAGTTGAAGGACGACTATACTGTGAAGTAGTTTGTTTTATTCTACTTAGTGGCTGTGAAAAGTGGGCTTCAATAATTAAGGATACACGTAGATTACTAGTATCTGACCATTGAATTCTTCAGAACATTGTTCACGTACAACGGGATCATCTAACCAGCGATACTGAAATCAAAACAGAGCACTTTGTTAAGATGGTAAATCGGTTGGTGAGTTAGCGAGGCTTTGATCGACTAGTGAGGTTGGAATATAGAACATATGATCAACCACCATTTACTTCAAAGCGCAATATTTGCTTATATAGTAGCTCGAAAGCTAGGGGCGACCTAACCAAAACGTGGTATCAGTCCATAAAGTCACTGACAGATGGACATAACTGTATAAGTAAATGTTTACTTCCTAGTTGGAATCCACGGGTTAACGGCGATCAGTCAGTCAGTCACAACGTATAACTTCGTACGTACGTACATCAGTTCGAGTTTCCATACCACATTAGCACAGAGATGCAGTTGTCGATTCAAATCCCATGGTGATAGTAGTAAGAGTATAAGCAGTAATCAGAAAGATTAGGGTTTGAATATGTTGTTCAAGGAGTATAAACCAGTAAAATAAATTTGAAAAGAGAAAAAAGACCAGTGGTTGCAGGTGTTAGATGATATGATTTAAAATCAGCCTCAATCACACAGATACATTCACTATTTGTCTCAAAATACTTAAACTTTTTATTCCGCGAACTAATTGTTTCTTTTCGAATCATATTATCTATGCCTAATCTTTTCTCTTACTACTTCTACAATCTTGATTTATGTTTTCATAATTCCATTTCACTATGTTGTGATAGCCTGAACCGATACAAATATGTTTCATGTCCTACTTTTCTTATGATTGACTAGAAAATTAGTCAAACTAGGATTTAATCTTCTACAAAACAATACTTCACTTACTTTTTGAAATGAAAAAATTTAATTCTATAAAAAACATGATTTAATCAAACAAAAGCTTTGTGTACGTCGACTTATAGTCCCATTTTTTCTGTAAGAACCAGTTTTATATTAGATACCAAGAAAAAAAACTTACCACTGTTTTAACTTCAGCTCCAACTACTTTTGACAACTTTTTAAATCCATTAATATTCAATTCTTTGTCAGTCTTATCATTATTGTTACTATTAATATTAGAAGTAGTGGTATGAGGTTTTAATTTAGATCGTGACTGTTGGTTGATTGTCGTTGTTGGTGGTCTCGACTTGGATCGAGTTGCTTGTCTGTCTGTATTATGATCACTGACACCATTTGTTGATGAAGGATTGACATTTTTTGAATCAACTCTAAATACAAATTCACCAGGTCGACGGAAACAAGTCTCAATAACTCGGCCACCTCCATCCCCATCGCCACCAACAACACCGATATTATTTTTTAATTTATCGCCTTTATTGTTGACATCATTATCTTCACTCTCATCATCACTATCTCTGATACGAATCAAACGATGTTTACCTGTTTTTTTCTTCTTTTCTTTTGTCGTTGTTGTTTTAACAACAAACGATTCCATGAAAGATGATGTATCAATGATTGGTTTTGAATTTAGACGAGCTTGACGCACCAGATGAGATCGAGCTGATTGTATTTCATGATCATGATGATCAACAGTATTAACTACACATTCTTTGTTCTTACTACTGGAACTATTGACAAGATTAGAAACGACGAGTTGATCAATATTCTTTGGATTAACGACGGAAAATTTATTTACAGAAATACACGATTGTTGTAAACTTGGAACTGAAAAGTGTATAGGACTAATGTTTTTGTGAGTATTATCCTTATCATCATCATCATTATCTAAATCAACATTATTTACGTAAGTGACTACTGTTGGAAGACATTGTTTGCTTGTAATATTATTTTCAGAAATACAAGTTATTGGACTTGTCAGTATTTCAGGTAAAACTTCTTCACAAGATGATACTACTACCACTGTCATTGTTGTAATGAAAATGATTTTTAAATAAAAAAAGTGATAAAGAAGTCATTAAAGATCACTAGAAAATGCAATCATAAAGAGCATAGAAACGAAACCTACGTAAAATGAGAACACTGAAAGTAAATTGTTGATCATTAAATGTAATGATAAAGACAGAAAGAGAGACACACAATATGAATGATATCACATATTTCGCGATAGGTTTTTTCAACTGATTTCATTATGCGTATAGATAAATACACAATACTCTCTACTCGACCTTTAATTTAAAAAAACTTACAGTCCACCTTACACGGAGATGTTTAACATCAAAATTTAGGTTCGAATACCACAATAGGTGGAAGTATATTGTCCACTTTGTTTACACTTCGAAGAAAAGACTAGTGATTACAATGAAGTTCATGTATCGAACATATTATTAGCAGTAAGCCTAGTAAGGAACGTTTGTAGATGATGGTGTGGAAAACTTTTTAATGACATTTGTTTATACTTACAGGTTAATTGAATGCATAAGACAAAGGTTTTTGTTGGGAATATTGCATATTTTATACTGAGGACTGCTTAATGTAAACCAACACTCGATATCAAACAAAGCCATTATTATTATTAATTTAGTAATGATGGTCAATTATAGTTGATAAGGTTATAATTTAACAATTAAGATGGATTGAACACAAAAATTAGAATGCTAAGCTAGTTGATTAATTATAAATCTAAAGGATAACCTAAGACTATATAAAATACGATGGTCAGAATACTTTCGACGAATTCAAAGATTTCTCTTTGGAGTTCACATAGTTATTGTCATTTATAATTGGAAGCAATACGGTGAGATATGACTCATAAAATTATTCATGATGATTAAAATACATTAATTTTTATTTTCCTCCAAACTATAGGGTTTACATATCATTCGTCCAAACATATTATGAACTGATTTCATCCATACTCTTGATGTCTAGTTTCTTACTGAAATTGGTACTCATTAAAGTAGAAACCTGGTACAAATGTTCATTGAACAAAGTTGTAAAACCTATATTAAAACACCGACATGTAATTAGAACGATGATTACCAAAGTAGTATAGTACCAGTGGTAATAGAAAAGATTAGATGTATGCACTATGATTCAGACTATAATCAAGGAGTCTACACATACCAACATGGTTCAGACCAGTAGATAATCTCTTCGCTTTTCTGTATCATTTCAAAATTACCGAAGTGAGTACTAATATAATAAACGAAGAATTGGGTGGACGTAAACTAATTCATTGTATTATGCAAAATCATAGCATCTTTGTAAAATATGAACACAATACATTAAAAACATTATTTGTCAGTCTTCCTTGAGTTGTTTGTGACAAACTCTATTGTTCCGTCAACCCTGTTGTTATTTTGGTTACTTTTTGTTTTCCTTCATCTTCTCATCATTTCCCTTATCTGTTCGTAAGAATTCTATTTTCAATTCCCGACACGTACTACTTATATTTGCCCGTACAAGCAGTATACGCCACACTACTACTGTAGTGAACAAAACACTAGTTGGGGACAATCGAATGTATTTAAGCTAACATTACAGACTATATCAGTAAATTCTGATTACCAAACAATGAACAGTCAATTTGCAAATTAACAACCAATTGTTTCAATCTTCACTGTTTCTTCTCTTATTCCATTGCTCATACATTTTCCAAACGATTGCGCTTCATTTCAGTTCTTTCCTCATCGGTCTTCTGCGAAAATACATTCTATGTCTGACCCACACCACATACTACTTATATAGATATAAGTAGACCACACCACACTACTACTACTATAAGCAATATGTCTTTCGTTACCCTGTTAACTGTCTTTCTTGTTATGAAAATAGTGAACAAATGTATCAGATTCTACATTACTGTTTATGAGTGAAATTATGACAGTCTTATGACAGTTTACCAACTTTTAAGGGATAAGACGTTATCAAGTGGCATATAACAAACTTCGATGATTAGACATGTAAGTAAAATAGAGAAAAAACTCGTCATATATATTCTATAGCATCCGATCGATATTTTAGTTAGATTACAGGTATATCATGATGAACATAGCTAAATATTTCCCAGTTTAAACATTCTAATTCTAACAATCATTTAAAGAGTTCATTTAAAAAAACTAAACATTTCACCAATTGTGTAATAATTAAAAATAATGCCATTCAGTTAACCATAACAGAAATTGATGAGAGAAAGAGTGGATTTCTATAGATTGATCAATTTGTTGTATTCATGACATCCTACAAAAGAGGGATGTACTTTGCATAAAAATTATAAAACCAAATTTAAACTAAACGGGATATTTTCATTATTTTAAGAGAATAAACATTATTAATAAGGAATAACATTAAATTTGAGTAATAAAAAATGCCAATAACTTACATGGTTCCTGACGAATAGACTGTGATGATTGTAGGTCAGTATTTAACGTTTCAATAAGAGGAATCGGTTGTACCTAGAAAAAAAATCCTTTTTCAAATGAAATAGAATAGTTGATGGTAAAAAACTGTATCTAAAGATCAAACATTAACAACGTATGACTTATACGTAAACATGTCTTACAATTTATGCCAGAATAAAGAGAGAGAAAATTATCATGACACATAAATTAATAGTCAAAACTGAACTTCGGTGAGCAAATGACAATAATCTAGTTCTCTATAAGAACTAAATACATTACTGTAGAACTCTTAAGTAACTATGTTATAGATCAACTAACTATACCATCCCAACCAAAGTAACATGGCTTACAATAGATGTTACCGCTATCGTAAAGTTAATAACTTTGCAAGTTGCACATTCTTTAGGTCAGCCATCCATGCTACATCGCAATTTCAGGATTCCTAAGTAAATTCACAGAAAACTCATATCACACTGATAATCGATCACACAGCTCATATGCTGAGAAGCTTTATAAATATTCATTAGTGATTCGCTCTGTGGAAGTACTATTGGATAACAAACTTATGTTTATTTATCTTGATTTACCCTTTAATAATTTTTTTATTGCTTGAAAGAGCGAATTGGTGGAATTAAAATTTAAATTGAGTATTACTTAACTAATTGAACTGTTAAGTTACATTTCAATTCATTTGTGCAGAGCTTTTAACAGATGGTAACTTAGCCTAAGTTAACCTAATACTAGTTATGATTAAGTATATATTGTTAAAGTTACGTTCTATGTAGTCCAATTTGGTGGAACGGATAGTATTAATGATCTTCACAAAATAACAGAATCTTATTCTACTTAACTAAATATCACTATTTGCTGTAATTGTATTGTTTCTAAAGACCAAGTTTCATATGTTTAACACCAAAACTCTTTTTTTAACAGTTTTAGTTTAGAATATGCTTTAAAAAGTATACCTGTAAGCAAAGTACAGTCCACATACATGTTACATATAGGTGTTGGTGATACAACACCATTCACATATTTAAACTACGAGTAGACTGAAACAGTAATAGCATGATGAACTGACGAAGCCGTTAGATTTATAATAACAATTACTAGCTTTGAGCGAAATTCGAAAAATGATGACGGATAATTTATTAAAAACTGAATGAAACCTATCAGTGTTTATCTATTAAGATGTCAAAAATTGATAGAATTGGAAGACTAAATAATAGGGATTATGGCTTTTAAAAGTAGAAGAAATAACTGTGGATGTATTCACTCTATTCCCAACTAGACCCGAAACCTAACTCCTGAGCTTTTTGGGAATCTTAACTAATCAATTATTCATTTATATCACCTAAATTCCGGCTTTTATTCCATTCTCATTATTATCTTGAGGGTCACTGAAGGGCCTCAGTAAAGTGTACTTATACTATTGAAGCTGAAGAGTCTTAAGACCTGATTTATTATCGAAAAGAATTACCAGTCTAGTCAAAAGAAAAGGAATGTAAACTGCTGAACAAGCCCACATCTCTAATGTTATTGATAGTCTTGTCAATTTGTAACTTCAGGTAAAAAGTAAATTTGTATTACTAGTCAATTTTTTCTTTTTAACTGATAACTTACATCCAATCTGTTATTGCAAATATGATTAGCATTACTGTGATCTTTAGGAACGAATGCCATTTTCACTGGACCTGTTACTAATGAAGTCGATGATGATGGAGATTGAATTTCAGGACAAACAATAGATAGTTGACAAACATTTTCTTCTGTTATCTGTTGAGCAGGTTTTGTAAATTCTTTTCTAACAGAAACAATAATGATAATAATAATAGCAATAGTAAAGATAAGGAAGAACTAATCTTCAAATTTCTCGTTTAGTATAACTCAATGTAACTCATTTACAAAGTACATTGATGCTTAATTTCTTGGTTTTCTGATGGATAATGGTATTACTACTGTAGTTAACGAAAACTCAGGTACGGTAAACCAATTCATTGTTTTATGCAAAACCACACAGTGCCTTTGTAAAATATAAAAATCATACACTAAATACATCATTTGCACATCATTGCGTCGTCCTTTACATACCCCGTTATTCTTCTAATTCTGTTGTTATTCCGACTGCTCTCCGTTTTCCTTCCTGTTCTATTTATTTCAAATTTCTGCTGGCAAGCATTCCATTTCCTATTCCTCCTACGTACTACTTATATCTGTCTACATAAGAGGCGGACACCACACTGCCATCCACCGGCGCAAACAATAGTAGATGAAACGGATTTGAAGCCTACGATCACTACTACTCGTTAAAAGTAGAATTCTTAAACCACTACTCACTACTAAGCTACCGTCTCAATACTAAGAAATTTAACTGAAAATGAAAGACTAGCAAACCATGTCATGTAGAGATAAATACCGAACAGAATTTTATCATAAGATGAACAGACAATAGATATTCTGCAATCTATTTGATGTCAATATAAAATTATTTATAATAATCTATAACATTATTATAGTATGAAATAGATGAATTCAAGTTGAAATTAGTTAATTTAATACACAAATTTTGATACAGCTGGGCACTGAAGATATGAGCTACAGAAATAAAGGAATAATATTGAATAGAAATAAAGTCGGGGATGAGATCACAGGCAAAAACAAGGTAAGTAAACAAAAATAATTTAAGACAGGAGTTACAATTAAAGTTAAAAATACAACCAGCAATGTTTCCTTTAAGTTAGGATAGACCCTTTAACTTTCATGGAAACTGCAGTATAGTAGCCACTGGATTCTATTCTGACCCATGTTTGAACACGCCTCAAGCCGCAAGATTGCACCACCTTCAGGATTCCAACCGAGGTGTCGTGTTGAACGGACAGATTCCAGTTATATAAAGCTTATTTTCTTTCATAATACACTGTCGAGTCATAAACCGACCATTTCCTCACTTTTTCCACTCCTCGCCAGAGTCGACAAATAATACACGATATGGAAGCAGCTGGGAATAAATTTTTAAAAAATGTCCCAGCCACCAAACCTAGTGTTTGAATATGGTGACACCAAATGAGTTATCGTCATTGTACCTGAACCCACATTATTGAACCTCTGACATTACCGAAATGGTGTTACCACTGCCATCCTTTGGAGACAACAATGAGCGAATACAGAGTTTTTTGACATCCTCAACCCAAAGGCAAGGATTCACAAACATAGAGCAAAACTCTAACTGACACGTTGTAAGCCCAACCTTCTACAGCCACGGGATTATCATACCATCGCTAAAACCAGTCAATCAGTCTAGTGAAATGTACAAGTTGTCATTATTTGAATCAACACGACAACGGAGGAAAATAACAAGCTGAAATAATAGTAAATAGTAGTAGTAAAAGAAATAGATGAAGATAATATAATCCTAAAAAGAATGAATGAGATCAAGAGATATGAGGAGAATATATAACAAAATTTGGAACTCCAGATGTAAGAGATACAAGAAATCATCTCAATCAATTTTAATTTGTGACATTACCAATAAAGAAGCTCCACTGCAGAGAGCTTATTGAAGTGAATATAGCCTGTTTTAATTATGATGAGTAAGACTATCAATGTGTCAGTCGAAACCTATCAAATTATTGCATTGGCATTGTTAATTCAAATTCATCTTTGAGTTACATCATTAAGACTTATTTATTTACAACAATGTCAGAGCGAGTAAAGCGATCTGGACACTTAGTTTATATCGTTGATTCACGTATGTTGATAAGTTTATTACTCAGGAAAAAATACTGAACCATTTTAACGCGAGAATACTGTAGAAACAAAACATAACAACCCATACACTTTAATCCGGTCTGCGAAGTCATTGACAGTAGTATCGAAACATGTAGATAGATCAAGACTACCTAGTTGAGGTTCATGCGATTATCGTTACTTAGGGTTAAAGATATTGAATAATATGGCTCAGAACTGGTCACAATGACGCACATGAATTCATTCTTTGTTTACCCTCCGATAATGGGTTTCAGAATTACTTTATACCTACTATTTTGTGAATTTACTCCTTCCTCTCGAATCATCTCTATGAATAATCCTTTTTGCTACCAAACGTGGCGTTGTTACTCTCTTAATATTCTGGCACTATCCTAACAATATCACCTCTCTGTTTTGATATGGTGTGAAAACTTGAACCGATGGGTACATGTCCCAGGTTCTAAGTCGTTCGTGACCGACTGTTCAAATATCTTTAATATTCACAAAACACTCCTACCTATACAACTTCACGTAACGAACATATCAGTAAAAAGCACCAAAAAGTTTATAGTTCACTAACTACCAAGCTGAAATAACCCTATATAACCTGGTTAGGTTCATTACTGCATGGTAATAAACTTCAAATTATTTCACATTATTCTAAAATAGCACATCGAAACTTTACTATATTTATCCCATTTAACAAATGATATGTGTAATAATTCTCTTATACACAAAAAATGCATAAATTCCTAATTCTATTTAGCATTATTAATGTCGGTGAACGAATCACATACGAATATTTAGGAATCTAAATAAATTACTTATTAAATAAAAGCTTATTTAACCAACTTTTTAGTCGTACTTTTTTATGGGGACCAGTGAGATATTGTTGCATCTGTTCAAAATGAAATAAGTACAGTGGGCTGTAATCTATCAGCGATTTCGTTGGAAGTGAATTCCACACCAATCACTCTCTAAATTTAACCTCTTATGTTTAAAAGCGCTTTTAATACCGACCATTTCACGACGAAAATGTATTTTACAATAAATCTTGTCATAGAGAATTAATGGAGACAAATAACAACGATAAAATTACGCAGAGAGAAATATAAACAATCACCATTTTATCTTACCTACAAACAGAATCAAGTGCATTCGGATCAACTGCTGTTTCACCAAGTAGACTTGATATAGGATTCGACAACAAATCCAATGAATCATTTTTATCCAATACCGATATTGAATCTTTCACATAAGTCATCATAGACATTCCCATTTCAATTTGTGAACACAATAATTCATGTACATTTAAAATACAAGCCTAACAATTATTATTTTGTTATTTGAAAAAGAAGAAGGGGAAAAGTGACTACATACAGAAATAATATAGAATGATTTAATAACTTTATTTAAAGTACACAAGAACCATTTGGAAATCGACAGATAGATGTACCTGCATCCCAGAGTTGGTGTTCACTCTGGGACTCGAACCCGGTACCGTTTTGCTTTAAACGTCATAGCGTTATTCACTTAGCTGCCTAGTCCAGATAGTCACTCACTTGTGAAACGGCCGTGAGATCTGATTCAACATTAAATGGTTTAGATTATCATATTCCAAATAGGACGAGATGCATATCCTGGATCCCGCTGCTAGCCAAATGTCGTCTATTCTATATTAACTTGTGTCATGATAGCTATGTAAAGGCAATCTGCACATGATTCCCATAAGCCAGCCAAGACTGATCGAACTTTAATAAGAAATATCATCAATAACAGGATAATATAAACCATTTTAAACTGAACAATATTTGTGGGATAAAATGAATTCATTAGTCAATTTTAAACGCTTCTCATGTACAGGAAGTTAATATAATAATAAAAAGAAAAATATTCGACATACTTTTAGTTATGTGAAGTGGAAATGGATGTTTAAAACGAAACCGAAAATCATGAACAGATGGGTTTGAACAAAAATCATATGATTTAGGACGGTTAAGACCGATGCGAATTTTTTTGTTAGAAAAATAGTAGCACATAGAAGAGGTTATGTTATGGTTACTATTAACCATAATTAGGAAAAAAAGGATTGCACAGTCTTAGTAAAGATAACGAATAACTGGACAGATTATCAACAAAATCAGAACTTCAGTTAATATGTAAGCATCAACAATATCAAACAAAAATAGATCAAGTTGGAAATGTTTGATAGCTATTACTTCTGTTAGAAGGGAGAGGAACTGTCATTGGTTGTTTTAAAATGGGTTTGAGTTTTTACTGATGTAAGTACTATGCCCATTACCTATCAAATGCCTGACAATGAAACTTGTGAAGACTTTACTGTCATTCAGATAACATTCCTAAATGCGTATTCGAAAATCTTATTTCTTTTTTCATGATTTTTAGTTTCGTTTTGGACATCTAACTTAACTTCATTAACTAAAGCACGTCAAGCCTTTATTTATAATTAGACTATTCCTCGTGATTTTATGCTATTTACAGTAGGTGAGAAGCCTTAAAACAGACTGACGAATCCACTTTACTCAGTAAATTTCCTTTTTATATTGTTTACAATCTATTAATGGGTCAATTTGTATGATACCTTTATTCTCTCTTTGGTTTCTTTATACGCTTGTAACCGAGCTACTTCCATACGACAATTCAATAATTCAATATTCGCTTGTTGTGTAGCCATCTTCTGGTTATTTAATTCAACTTGCAATTCGGCTAGTTTTTTCGCTAATGAAGCATTATTAGCACGAAGAGATGTGGCTGAAGTGAAAGACTGATTGACTGTTAAAGAAAACAAAAAATCACAAATAGTCAAGAGAGAGAGAAAGTGACCAAAACATACAGTTAACCTAGTTGATATTCATTTTGTCAACAAAGTTGGCAAATAATCATAATAATAGTAGCAAACTTTGCATCATGAACTGATCTTAACTAGGCCATCAGTGTAAACCACGAAGCACTAGACAGTTATTTTATCCTGGAAAGGGAATCCCCACTAATCGACCGAAGTTAGAAATGTAAATTATTGGAAGACAACCAAGTTATCTAAATTTGAAAAACTTCGTAAGAACTCTGAAGATCCCATTTTCGACTTTCAGGGCGATCATTGATATACGCGGCTGAGGCATCCTATACTAGGATAGGACAGCTGTTCAGAGATTATTAGTTTACAATAGTTATCTAACTAAAGTCAGCTCGCGGTATGTACTGTAAAACACAACACTTCTCACGAACCCCTTACGCTAACAATAGCGATAATTTCCTGAATTATAATTCAGGGTACCTGATTTATCAAGCGGAAGTTAATATACTCAGTTTTGAGTGAAAATCTGTCTTTTGCATTAGAAGTTGGTAAGATGAAACTAGCCGGCTACTTAAACTAAAGCAAATTATAAGATTTACTGTTAATCATTGAATCATGTCTTAAGATTTTGCAAAATGACTTATGTTGTTTTGTTCATTTATGACTTGTTGACAGTACACATCAATTGATCAGATAGCAAAATATTGAAAATAATATTAAAAAACCTCACAGGATGGATTCTTCCATTCTCAGACCCTAGTTTTCTTTCAAACCCCTTACACCAGTATATGTCGCCTGACGAGGTAAGCGGTAGTTAGGCATACGTAACACATGTCCTAACCTTAACGCTACTCACTCTGCTGTTGAACGATACGTGGGTAATTACACATGAAATAAGACTAAGGAAGGTCAAACCAAGACATGGATTAAGCCGATGGAGATAATGACTGTTGGACTGAGTCATGTAGGTAAGTAGGTGGAGACTAACTCGTTGAAGTCCGAGTGATTATTGTAACTACAGGTTAAAAACGAGGTAACATGTCTCAAAATCATTCGCAATAGCGCATGTGCATCCACTTTGTCATCATTCAGACCCTAAGTTTCTGAATTTCATAAATCTATCTTTACTCTACCCATCCACATACTTGCATCACTGAAAAGTTCAGAAAGTCAGTGGAAGACATGAGAACAAAGAGATGAGCTGACATAGCTTTCGACCACAACCTAGTGATTTTCAAGATGAGACATAGACTAAACAAGTACTTGACAAATGGAGAAACAGCATTACGACGGTTTAGTGCAGCTTTTCTTCGGGAGCTGAAGGACGCAACGAATTCAGGATAGTTCTTAGCACTGGGGTTCCAAGCCTTACAAGATCTATTAACAGAAGAGAAAGCTACTATGAAGAACAAGTGGAAAAACATAAACCATGGATATGTTGTTTGAAATCACACTTGTACATTACCTTCCACCAAACATTAAAACGTAGCTAGAATTCTGATTATCTTAAGTTAGCTTAATATGTAGTCCTACTCCTTGAAATATTTTCAAAGTGCATCTACATTTATCCAAACTTGAATTCTTAACAAAATAAGTGATTACGGAATTACAATTTAGCTTTAGGCTTATGTTTTAACGTGACAGATTATTATTATTATTATGGATATCAGGACTGATATATTAGTATTGTTAGTTCATCAAAAAAAACTGACAGAACTGAGGCAATCGATCGAAACTTACCTGATTTCTGCAGTAGTCTTCTTGAGGTGTTTAATAACCCCCTATTTCGCATAATTCTAACACTATCATTGAGTTTTGGTTTCTTTGATTTGCGAAAGGTGATACTGATATGTGGTTTTGAACCATTCATTACACCAAGACAACTTCGATTCGCAAAAATTTCAAGTTAAACAAGTAGCAAGGTCGTTGGGTCATTTGCCGACCGCTTGCTATGAATAAACCCTAACTCGGCCTCAATATCAAGTAATTGATATCTTCGTAACCGATGCGTGTAAATTAGTGAATTCCCTATTGTTTGTACATTATCGACGCAACGTCTTCAATACGTTGCACAATCTTTCTCCTCCAGGTGCTCGTGCAACAGTCAAACTTATAGCCGAACGCTTTTGCTAGCCTGGCATGAATAAAGACGTGAGGGAGTGGGCACGCTCCTGTGTAAGCTGTCACAAATCTAAGGTCATAAGACACAACAAATGTCCCTTAGGCTCTTTCGAAACCCCTGACGCTCGTTTCGACCACGTCCATCTAGATTTGGTAGGAGCCTTACCCGACTCAAACGGATACTCATATCTCCTAACATGCGTAGACCGTTTTACTCGATGGCCAGAAGCAGTACCGATTAAGGACGTTACTGCTGAAACAGTGGCTTGCGCTTTCGTCGAACGATGGGTAGCAAATTTCGGCTGCCCTTCCACGATCACTACAGACCGCGAACGCCAGTTCGAATCTGGACTTTTCCGTTGTCTGACCTCACTATTAGGAATCACGCGCTTCCGAACTACTGCCTACCACCCACAAGCAAACGGGTTGGTAGAACGTTTTCATCGACAACTAAAGGCTTCATTATCAGCTTCAAACGTTTCACAGTGGACAGACGCTCTTCCACTCGTCTTGCTAGGTATCCGCAATGCAGTGAAAGCTGACATTGGATACACTGCATCTCAACTCGTTTACGGAACGACACTACGACTCCCAGGAGAATTCGTGGATCCTTCAGCTTCTTCATTGAACATGGATCTAAACTCTTACACGAGTAGGCTTACAAACGCTATGCGTTCAGTTAAACCTGCTCACACTCGACATCAATCAACTCATGTTTTCGTTCGACCCGAATTACGACATAGTACACACGTCTTCGTTCGTCGAGACCCACATCGACGACCTCTCGAATCAGCTTACGAAGGACCCTTCAAAGTTCTTCAACGTGAACCCAAGTACTATAAAGTCGATAAGAACGGCACGAACGATAACATCAGTATCGATCGACTCAAAGCAGCGTACTTAGAAGGAAACCCTAGCTACGTCGAATTTCCTTCGGTACAATCGTACGACACGGCTCCTACACTTGTAGTACCCTACACGACAGCCGACACACAACTTGATAGTTCGCCAACGTTGATAGATAAACCTAAAACAACGCGTTCTGGAAGAAAAGTGAGATTTCCAGAACATCTTAACGAATGTTGCACGTAGGACATAAGCTTTATCTTGCATTACCCTTTCTTTGTTTATCATGAAAAAATTTTTTAATATGCTCAATTTTTGTTTATATAAAAAAAATAATTGTTTTAAATTTTTTTGAGCGTATTTAAATTTTTTTATATACATAAAAGAAACCAAAAAAAAACCATTTTTTGCCGATCGCTTTTACGCTATTTGTAAGTGTATTAGTTTATTCATTTTTTTCCGCTCATTTTGTGTCCTTACGCAAGTACGAGTGTATTTTCTACATGCACTCACACGTTCTTTTTTCTCTTTTCCAGGACGGCTGGAAAAGAACGATGAAGTTTCGCAGGGAACCGAAATTTTAATTGTACTTTATTTCTCGATTGCTATGTTGTACATTTTGGTCCCTTAGTTTAAGGAAAGACGACTAGACGCTGCGAAACGAAGCAAGTTATCAGAAGAGTGTTTACCAACGACGAACTCGTTGGGTCTAAACCTCTGGCTGGTCATGTCTTAGGGGCATCACTACCTCACTAAGGAGGGAGTGATCTGTAGCTGTAAATAATTCCCCAAAATCAATAGCTTTCTAATTGTTCGACATTGGATGCTGACCATGTTGTTTAAGTGGACTTGTTTAGCTGAAGGCTTTCGGTCATGCATCCGCACCAGATCACGTTTCGACTCGGCGTGGGACACTGCTCCTACGTTTCTATAGCCAGCTTATAGTAAAGGTTCCTCGATATATTGGTAACGCATCAAATATATCTTTCCTACCTCTTCTCGTCTGACTTCTGATATCCTCTCGCCGGGAACAATCGATTATAGAAGATATTACTGGTTGCTAGTTGTAAAACTAGAATATCCGTTGTATCCTCAACTGCAGATAACTTCACTTTCTCTCCGGCGATGGAATATCCTGGTTGGGTCCTTAAATGTTCAGTACTTGGATCTCTTTTTTTCTTGATTGATATAAATGATCCCCCACAATAATTATCGTTTGACTAATTACTTTTTGCTGAAGATGTATAACTTCGGAGAGAGATACGTATCCAGGAGGATATACCGACACTTCAGGAGGATCTGACTCGACTTCAAAGTGCGGCAGATGACGACGGACTTACCTTTAACATTTCAAAATGTTAAATTGTCCATCTTAGACATGTTACGGACTACAGTTACAACTTAGGCAAGTCCTCTCTAGGAGTATCACAAGTCGAAAAAGATTTAGGAGTGCTGGTACCCTACGATTTGAAGTCTTACGCTAACTGCCACAAAATCGCCTTCCAAGCAAACCTTACACTGGTAACATTGAAGCGCATTTTCGCCCAACTTGTCGGAGGAACTTTCCACATAATCTTCATTAGTTTTATTCTTTCACAATTAGAGTACAGAAACTTAGTATATTCCCCTCACTCAAAAAGGATAAGGATACTTTTTAGCATATCCAACGGCGAGCTACGAAATCAGTTCGGGAACTCAAGTTTAAGCCTTATGAAGAGCGCCTCCAATCGCTAAACATTTAACCATTATGGTATAGGCGTCTTAGAGGTGATCTTCTAATATCTTACAGTATCCTTAACACTTCCGGACGTCCTCTTAAATACCCACTTAAGTTTAGCTCCAACACAAACCTGAGGGGTAACACCCAGTAACTAGAGACACAACACAGCAGAACGGACTGTAGACACAACTTCTAGTCATTGAGAGTTGTCAAACGCTGGAATTCGCTACTGGCTGAGCTAATCCTGGGAGTCCTTTAGGAGGAAACTTGACCTATTCTTGGGGACTAAGGATAATATCTTATTATAATTTATCAAGCTCGTTTTCCTCTACTATCGTTAATATACCTAGATTCCTGCCTGGAGGTATTGGTAATCCACTGCTTTTAGACACTCAAGCCCGTTAAGGGAAAGCTACTTCCACAACCATTTGAACCATTTGAACCGTTACTTGATTTGTTGTCTATGTTTTAGGAAAATCAAATTATTTCTTAGATAGTAGATAAGAATTGTAGATCAGTGGATCATTTTGGTGAAGTTCTGTTCTCTGGGCTGAATGGTTTGGCTTTGGAGCTTTCGTGGATTTTTTTTCGACGACATCAGCATGAACTTCAAGTTGAAGTGAAGTGTTTAAATTTCTCCATTTATTTTCAGATTTAGATTCAGATTTGTGTGATAAGGACGGAAAGCCTACGACCTATTTTATACCTTTTCCAGTATGCCTCTGTGAGTGTCTAAACTTCTCTGGAACGAGTTGATTCAAGCTGTCAACACCACTGCCTCGGGTAACAGGTTGCAAAAAATAGTGTGAAAAATCGCGAGCCACATGGACTTTGTTCGTTCTTCACTGTTCTATTCGCATGCTATGTCCCTTGAAATGTCTCGATCTAGCTGGAAGAAAAAGAATAAATTAAGTCTCAAATAATTTCCCTTTATTGTATACGCCAAAATCAAATCACCTCTTAATCTGCCATAAGATAAGGTAGAAAGGTATAGCTTTTCCAGCCGCTGTGTGTATGGTAAAGTTTTGGAATTGTACGGGCGGCTGCTTCTAGTACTTATTTTACGATATCAGAGTCACTTTAAACAAGGATTTGCAGTCTGAATGCAGTTCTCAAGCTTAGTTCTCACTGAGGTTGTGTATACTTTGATGAACATAGTAGTATCTAACTTGGTGAATGTTCGTCTTAAAGCCCATAAAGCTTTTAACCACTTAGCTGCAAACTCTCGGGAGTGGACTGTGGTCTTAAGATTATGACCCATTTTCACTCCAAGGTAGTGGGATCGAACCACGGGTGGTGGTGTACTTATTTACCTTTGTATCCTCAAAGTGCATGTGAACACACTTAGCCGCTATGACAGGCACCAGCCACCCTTTAGACCATCTAATCGGATTATTTAAGTCTGCTTGAAGTGTCCATACATCTGTGTCTCCAGTTATTTCTTCCCAGTTTTTACATCATCAGTAAATAGTATCATTAAGAGCTCATCTATCATCGGGAGTTCATTTACATACAGTATAAAACTTAAAGAACCTAGGATAGAACCTTGCAGTACTTCACCAAAGTCTGGCTTCCAGTTTAAACATTTGAAATTTATTATCACTTTGTATCTACGATGTACCAGGAAATCCTTAAGCCATTCTGGGAGAGATCTAACAATACCTAACATTTTGGCTTTTGGAGCGGTCTGTTTGTTGGCACGATATCAAAAGCTTTGTTGAAGTATGTGTAAACAACATTCACTGATTTCCCATTGTCTAGAGTCTCTATCCATCGCTTCTTTGACATAAGGGTGGACAGTGCACTGAGTATGACAGCAGCCTAATCAGACAAGAAAATATGCTGGACTTAGTTTTTACAATTGTCCACACCCTCAATACTGTGCGTATTGAAAAAAAATTTCCAAGTATCAATCATTGTCATATGTAACCTAAATATAAAAAACAACCAGTAAAAGTAAAACTATAACACTCCGTAGAAACTATCGCAATTGCGATTGGAAAAACTTCCAAAATAACCTAAGAAGCACCGATTGGTGAACTTTCTTTAATGCAAACAATACCGACACACTAACCAATATATTCTGTCACGACATCAAAAACACCAATAAAATCGCACCTTTAGCATACTGGAGACATAAGTTTTCTAAAGAGCTGTATATACCGATCTGTACGCGTAGACGTCTCCAAAGACATTGTACTCGATTCCACAACCTTATTGATTTTCCCCTTTAGTTACCATGACCGAAATATTC